ACCTCGTTGGTGGTGAGCGTGAGCACCCGGTCCAGGTCCTCCACCAGCTGCTTGAAGGTCGGCCGCTGCGAGGGCACCGCGTGCCAGCAGTCCCGCATCATCATGTACCTGCAGAGACGGCGTCGCCGCGTGAGCCCCCGAAACGACACCCCACGGCCCTCAGGCTCCGTCCACCCGCTCTCAGCTAATCCCAGGGGAGGGCGGGCAAGACACCTCACAAGCACCACCCTGCCCCCGCCGCGTGGGACCGGCCTCTCCTGGTTTTACAGTCTCGTCGAAGCGCTAAGGAAGGCTCTGGCCAACGTTCAATTCTCCGCACTCCAGTGCGGTCGAGCCGCAGGCAACCGGACACGGGCTAGGAAATGCGGTCGATGTCAAACTACAGCAGCAGTTTGCACGGTCCCAGAGGCGCTGCAGAAGCACCGGCCTCCACACGCTGCGCTGGGGCCGGGGACAAGCACTGAGGGGGGCCGGGCTGGTCTTCTGACCCTGTGCTCAGCCGGGCAGCCCCGTCGCTTCCTAGCTTGTGCGTGTGCGTGTGCGTGTGAGTGTGCGTGTGCGTATGGGGGCAGGTCTATCTTCCCGCCGCTCTGAGGAGGGTCAGCGGCAAAGCCCACGTCACTCAGGAAGCGGAGCCCTGGCCGGGCAGCCCGACGCCCCCTGATTGAAAGCTGGCTGCCTGCACCCCAGATGCTGCTCTCTCCCAGACAGGCCTGCGGCCGGTGGAATCTGTCTCCCTCTGAGGGGGAGCCTGGGGCTGGGGGAAGCCCAGGATGGAGGGGGGCCAGGGCGGGGCGGGGAGCCCGGACAGACGCCCCCTTACAGCTCATTGGTGCAGTTGGCCGGCTTGTCCATCCTGTGCCCCTCCTTCAGCAGCTTGAACAGCTCCTCCACGGGGATCCCCGGGTAGGGCGAGCCCCCGAGGGTGAAGATCTCCCACATCAGCACCCCGAAGGACCAGCTGTGCAAGGAGAGAGCGAGGTCACTCACCGCCGGCCCCGGCCGCCCGGCGTGCCCGTCCGATAAACGCCCAGCGGCCTGTGCCTCCTGCAGCCCCCACGTGCCCTCCTGCCCCCCAGCATCTCCAGGAACAGGACGTGGGGTTCCCAGGGAGCCCCGCCGATGGCGGACGGTGATGGCCAAGCGTCACCTTCTCTCCCTGCGGGGAGGTTTGGGATGGCTGGGTGTTTTCCTTCGGTCGCTCTCAACCTTATTCGTCTTCAGTGCAGTGTTTGCAACACGAAGATCTCACCTCCTGGGCCCGCCCACCCGCTCTGCCGGCCACGTGACCGACCCAGGGCTGCAACCTTGCCAGGATGGGCAGCGGGCAACACGTGGCCAGGGAGCTGCCCCCCGAGGCTCAGGGGCCCGGCGGCCGCGGAGCCCCACAGGGCACGGAGGCTCCCGCCTCAGCCACCAAGGGGGCCGCTGGGGGGAGGCGGTTCAGGCAGCAGGACCCGGACCGTCTCCCAGGGATCAATTCACACCTTTGGCGAGGGAGCCGAGACCATGCCAGCAGCTGGGCCAGTGAGACCGCGGCTCCGAGCTGCACATCGTGAATGAGGTCGGGGCGGAGGGCACTCGGAAGCCGGGCCGATTAGCAACAGCCACGGGTTACCGGCCTCCTAAGGCCGTCCTGGGTGCGGCCACTTCCAGCAGCTTCCCTGAACGTGTGACACGCAGCGGGCGCTGAGGAAGGCGCGGCACGTACACCGGGTTTGCAACTGACGCAGGGGGAAGCGGGGAAGGGGTCACTTACACATCACTCTGATGCGTGTACACGCGATCGAAAAGGGCCTCCGGAGCCATCCATTTGACGGGAAGCCGCCCCTGTGCGTGCGGGAGAAAGGAAACACCCACACGTTGGAACCCGTTTACACGCAACGGGGACTACACGCAACGGGGACTACACGCGACAGGCCAGACACGCAACAGGGACTACATGCAACGGGGACTACACGCAACGGGGACTACACGCAACAAGGACTACACGCAATGACAGGATGCGGATTCGGAAACACTGAAATGTCTGCGTGGACCCTCGGGGCTGTGGGCCTCCCTGACCAGCGTCTGGGGGGAAAGCTGACCAGAAGCTCCAGGCCCTGCCGGTGGCTAGAAGTCTGGACCCAGAGCCCAGGCGGGCGAGAGGAGCCGACTCTCCGTGCACAGGAGTCTCACCCCATGACCCGTTAGCACGTCGCCATGGGGAAGCGCGTGAGGAGCCAGACAAGGATGAGGCACCAGGGTCGGAGGAAGGCGCCCCGTCCGGGCCTCCAGCGCAGAGCACCCATCGCTCCTTCAGGAACGTTCCGGGCCACGCCCCCTCCCCGAGCGGCTGCCTGCACTCACGTTCGTGGTCTTCTTGTAATAGTCGATGTTGTTGATGTCTCTGGCCAGCCCGAAGTCGGCTATTTTCATCACGTTGTTCTCCGTCACCAGGACGTTTCTGGCCGCTAGGTCTCGGTGGATACACTGAAACGAGAGGAAAACACTCGCTTTAGGAGGCTTCAGGCCTAAAAAAGAAACAGACTCACTTCTTGTAACATCTGAAGCCGAACACTCGCTTCCTTTCGAGTTAAAAGTGAGCGTATGAGACCCTTTCGAGAGCGCCGGCCGGCCGCACCCGCATTCTCTCCTGCAGCTGACGGCACCGCGCCCCTCACCCGGGCTCCGCGCTGCCCACCCGTACTTGGGCGCAAACCTCCTTAAGGTACAAACGCGGTTCCTCGTTTAAGCGCGTCACAGGCACGTGCGCGGCGTTTCCCTTCTGTCCCCCCGCACCCCATTCTCTTGCTTCCGTGGACCCTGGATGGGGCTGAGCTCAGACCAGGGAGGGCAGGGAGCCCCGAGCGCCTGTGCCGGCCCAGGGTTAGGAGGCCTCTTCACAGTGAACCCCAAGGCCTGGGCCCAGCTCCCCAGGCGGAGAGCTCCCACCGACACCAG